TTTAAGTATTACGGAGATTTAAGGGCGACTTATTCTCCATCGTGACCGACTTAGCTCGACTGCTCTCCCTGTGCTCTTAAGAAAAGTGCGCTTCATTTATGCAATCCCCAGACAATCTTACAATCAGAGAAGTTCTAGCGATATCGTCTTTCGAATATGATAGCCTCAATCGAGGAATGAAAACGTCGAATTTATCTATAGCGATGTGACAGTTATTTGTACGTATAGAGCGCTGAGTTCCATTGAAACATTCGAGACGCAACCCTCGTATTGACTTCAGAATCGCCGGCAATCTATGCAGCAGTCAGAGCGAAGGAAGTATCGATCGTTATAAACCGTCTGCATCGTCACATAAAATACCGCGTACATGCATACTTATATGCATGACAAATCGTTCTTCCCTTGTTTGCGAGCCACGTAATCACGTGTGTGTGCATAGTTAAAGTTAAAGCAATCGTTATTCGTTACACATATATTTCTCTAACGAAACAGACTGGTAACCGGCTCTATCTCTCGTAGTTTCGCTAAATCTTCATTTACAGTCGCAACAGTACAGAAGCGAAGAGGAACAGAGAGGAAGATTGAAAGAGGGACGCGACTATTTATTGGCACGATAAATCAGCAGCTGAAACGCGTTCGCGGCGACCAATTAGCGTTGGATGTTAAGATCGTTGGGTCAGAACCCATGTAATAATGACGAATCAGTTCGGAGCCGGTCTGGTGGCATGCTCGACTGCCTCTTATTAATAAATTCGCTTCCCATGCGACGTCCTATGAATCATTCGATAGGCAACTGGGGAGATTCTATTAGACTGATTGGTTTATGCCTCTGTGGTTCAACTCGTGCCTATTCGTCTTCGTTCTTGGGGCCAACAAAACGCGTTTCTGCCGACCGGCTATCCCTGTTACGAACTAAGTAAGTACATGCATAACGTCCAGTTTGGACGAACCACGAAGTGGCCAGCCGGATATATTTGCTTACAGCGTGGCACCACTTTATAGCCGTGCGTAGGAAAACAAGGTACGTCTCGCCTGTTCGGATATCGAGCTCAAGAAAGGGAAGAGACCGAAACACGGAACATCGATAAATGTAAGAACGTGTTTTCATGGCTCAATAAAAACCGACGCCGGGATATACTTCTCCTTTGGTATCGAACTCTCGCGAAAATAACGTTGAATTGTTCGATAGATATTTCTGTCTTTGTCAATTTGAATGAAATCATCATTATTTTCTATACGACTGTGAACGACGATCAACTAAAAATATGTTATGATCAACAAAAAGTCGTTGAAATAAATCTGTTGCACAACGGTACGAAACACCGTTCGATCCCTACACGACCCAGTTCCGAACTCGAAGACATTAATTTTGAAAACACTCGATGGGGCGTTTGGTTTAAGGGGGAAAGATAGAATGGGTTGGGATCCACAGGTCGGTTCTGTTTAACGCTCGTTGACCAAAAACTCGTATTACTCGCGTCCGTAATGTCGGTAACTACCTTACGTTAAATCATACTCCATTTCGGATAGGATTAACTCCCCTAATTTACTAGCTCCCCTTTCCTAACAGGGGTGCTTCACAATCCCCATGACTCTCCAGTTAACATTGTTTTGCAGGGGCAAACGTTGCGCACGGATATGCTAAATCATCATACGCTTCAACCGTATAATATGTATATGTATACACAACGTACTTATGTTTGTAACCATTGCTAATAGATACTTTATGCATATTCGTCATGTAGAGAATAATTGATGAATTACACGTCCGATGGGAGATAATTGGGACTGTACACGTTACAACACGATACGCCGATGTACAATGTAATGTACATACAATACATGTATGTGCATGCATATTATGATGCGTACGAGTAAATGTATAAAAATTTATGTGACTTACAACATTCCTCTGCCGAGAGCGGGCGTAAAGGTCAAGTCCTTTGTTTAGACTTTAGATTACAAGCCGGGGACACGCTGGCTTTCTCATTTGTTCTTCCTCGCAGGACTCGTCACAGCACTCAAGGGAGCTCTATCGATAATAGAATTAACAATCAGATTTTCATAAATTTTGATATGCTACTAGTCAAACTTCCAACGTGACATAACCGAACTTTTAAAAAAAGGTTTATTAGAGATCTTTATCTAATTTTACATCGCGTCGTATGAAAAGTGTACTTTCGGTGCTTTTATTTAAATAATGTAAAGCACCTGACAATCAGATATTATTACTAGAAATGTTTTTAGAAAAGCCAAACATCTATTGAACAGATAGTTTACTTCAAAATAATTGTTCACTATAACCACGAGGTGCAAAATAAATTAATTATGTCAGTATTAATAATACAGATCTTATGGGCAAGTATCAATAATAATGTTGATTACAGAATATTATATAAAAGTATACTTAACCTTCGATTTGTATTCATGAATAAAAGTTACGTAAAATCATATATGCGTATCAATGCGTATGGGAAACGTAAATGCAAATGCGAATCGTAAGTAACTGGAAAACGCGTTTGCGTTCTACTTACTTGGACAGAAGACGAATTAACGTTTCTTCCATGCACTAATTATTCACTTAAACTCAATTAAAAGAAACTAAAAGATAGACACTTGCAAATGACCAAGGAGATAACCGCCAAGCTGTGACCAGGGGTAATCGACGCCATCCGCAATCGAGAATCTAGCGCCATCTGTTGGGAACTCTAGCAATCTCTTTACAACGTAGATCATTTAAAAAGCAACAAAAATTATGTCTATATTTATTAGAGCTAAACGGGGACTGAGGTAAATATAATATAATAAACATTTGATATTTTCAAGTGTAATTTTATTCTTGTATGCGAACGAAAATGATCCATTGAGATAAGTCGCTGGCATCATTTAGAGTACAACATACACGTACATTTATATAATTCCATTGTCGTCCATTACACGATATAAAAACTGTTGTTACACCATTGCAATAAATAGAATCGAGTTTATTATTATTTTTTTTTAATCTTTCACCTTTTTCAATTTCGAAGCAAGCACGCCCTTATATACAAAATATTTCTCATATTATCGGTTATTAAGTATATGTACGTATATATGTATATTCGAAGAGATATGAGTATGAAAATTTCAAGTAAAATTATTCGTGAAATTTTGTTAAAATATGTATGTATGTGTATACTTGAAATTTGTTCATTCTCGACAGCTTAAAATCACCACAAAAGTTTCATTGTTTCGCGGCTTCGTTTCGTGTAAAAATTTCGTGACAGTTTCTTAACGCACTGACACCGCTATAGGTACAGTTTTACATCATTGCCGATGTGCATTATTTCATAAAATAAATACTGAGTCCGACCTTTCTTTTTACAAAATATATATTACGATATTGCACTTAAGGTAAATGTACATGATAAAACGCGTAAAAAATATACAATGAGTTCCTCTGTCGAGAGGCACTAACGATAAGGAACACAGAAGTGTCGCATATAGATCATACATGTAATTATCCTCGCTCATCCACATATGTTCGATTTCGCACGCACAGAAAATTCTGCTTTCATCATTTATTTACTCGTTAGGCATTGTAATTTTAACGTCTGTTAAACAACGAAATATGGGGCATAAGATACGTGTAGCTATAACGACAACTATGCTCTTTCGCTGTATCATAGGATTCATCTAATAATTAAATCTTAATCACCATATCAAACATATACAACACGATTCTTTTGTAAACATTCGATAGAACGATGTTACGTCTCGCTGAACAATTTTTAATACTGATAAATTACAGGAATTGCGATTCATCTAATTAGGAATAAAAAACGGTTCGACCCTTTTAACGTTACTGAGATAAATATAACACGTGAAACATTAAAGATATGATTCTTCATAAAAGTTTCGTATTTATACATAATATTCGTAAATACGCCTACATGTATGTCACTGCAGTTCATGTGTAAGCTCACAAGACATTTACATATGATAAGACATACATTCAATTTGTATTTATGCTAATTTAATCAATTGGCCCTAGTACCATACCACGTTACAACACGTTTAATTAAAGGAAACTAACGAGATTCTAAAGAAAATACGACACAGTATTTACTTAAGACTATCGTGACAATTAAAAAGAAGCTTACATTATACAATGTATACATAAACAATAATTCGTTTCTTTTCCATTAATTCAACCATCGAATGATTGATATATGAATATTACTGTAGAAATATTAACATGAATCTGTATTCTGTTACATATTAATTTACGAGAGATAAAATAATGAAATAATAAGAATACACGCTGGTACAAACAAATTATATAAATATTTCGTCGTTAATTAATTAGTCATGGACTATATTGATGCGTATGGGAAACGTAAATGCAAATGCGAATCGTAAGTAACTGGAAAACGCGTTTGCGTTCTACTTACTTGGACAGAAGACGAATTAACGTTTCTTCCATGCACTAATTATTCACTTAAACTCAATTAAAAGAAACTAAAAGATAGACACTTGCAAATGACCAAGGAGATAACCGCCAAGCTGTGACCAGGGGTAATCGACGCCATCCGCAATCGAGAATCTAGCGCCATCTGTTGGGAACTCTAGCAATCTCTTTACAACGTAGATCATTTAAAAAGCAACAAAAATTATGTCTATATTTATTAGAGCTAAACGGGGACTGAGGTAAATATAATATAATAAACATTTGATATTTTCAAGTGTAATTTTATTCTTGTATGCGAACGAAAATGATCCATTGAGATAAGTCGCTGGCATCATTTAGAGTACAACATACACGTACATTTATATAATTCCATTGTCGTCCATTACACGATATAAAAACTGTTGTTACACCATTGCAATAAATAGAATCGAGTTTATTATTATTTTTTTTTAATCTTTCACCTTTTTCAATTTCGAAGCAAGCACGCCCTTATATACAAAATATTTCTCATATTATCGGTTATTAAGTATATGTACGTATATATGTATATTCGAAGAGATATGAGTATGAAAATTTCAAGTAAAATTATTCGTGAAATTTTGTTAAAATATGTATGTATGTGTATACTTGAAATTTGTTCATTCTCGACAGCTTAAAATCACCACAAAAGTTTCATTGTTTCGCGGCTTCGTTTCGTGTAAAAATTTCGTGACAGTTTCTTAACGCACTGACACCGCTATAGGTACAGTTTTACATCATTGCCGATGTGCATTATTTCATAAAATAAATACTGAGTCCGACCTTTCTTTTTACAAAATATATATTACGATATTGCACTTAAGGTAAATGTACATGATAAAACGCGTAAAAAATATACAATGAGTTCCTCTGTCGAGAGGCACTAACGATAAGGAACACAGAAGTGTCGCATATAGATCATACATGTAATTATCCTCGCTCATCCACATATGTTCGATTTCGCACGCACAGAAAATTCTGCTTTCATCATTTATTTACTCGTTAGGCATTGTAATTTTAACGTCTGTTAAACAACGAAATATGGGGCATAAGATACGTGTAGCTATAACGACAACTATGCTCTTTCGCTGTATCATAGGATTCATCTAATAATTAAATCTTAATCACCATATCAAACATATACAACACGATTCTTTTGTAAACATTCGATAGAACGATGTTACGTCTCGCTGAACAATTTTTAATACTGATAAATTACAGGAATTGCGATTCATCTAATTAGGAATAAAAAACGGTTCGACCCTTTTAACGTTACTGAGATAAATATAACACGTGAAACATTAAAGATATGATTCTTCATAAAAGTTTCGTATTTATACATAATATTCGTAAATACGCCTACATGTATGTCACTGCAGTTCATGTGTAAGCTCACAAGACATTTACATATGATAAGACATACATTCAATTTGTATTTATGCTAATTTAATCAATTGGCCCTAGTACCATACCACGTTACAACACGTTTAATTAAAGGAAACTAACGAGATTCTAAAGAAAATACGACACAGTATTTACTTAAGACTATCGTGACAATTAAAAAGAAGCTTACATTATACAATGTATACATAAACAATAATTCGTTTCTTTTCCATTAATTCAACCATCGAATGATTGATATATGAATATTACTGTAGAAATATTAACATGAATCTGTATTCTGTTACATATTAATTTACGAGAGATAAAATAATGAAATAATAAGAATACACGCTGGTACAAACAAATTATATAAATATTTCGTCGTTAATTAATTAGTCATGGACTATATTGATTATTACAACATTGATGTCAGTAAATAAATATGGACATCACTGATTAATTTCAACATTGACGTCAGTAAGGAAAGTAAAATGATACTTTAAATTACAAATACTCTAAATCATAACTAAAATCGAGTTTTTTTAAATTATTTCCTATATAATTTCCGATGACATCTTTTCATTAATAATGTCAAGCAATATATTTAATTAACGAGGATTGTTTAATGCAGATATGTGGATGCCTTCCTGTACGTAATCATAAGATGCAAATTGAATTATATTCATTTGAATTTTAATTATATTCATTTTCATATATAGTTTCAACACTGTTCGGCTATTTTCGAACCTGTGCCTATATCTACAGTTGCATTTAATAATATAAATATCTATTAGCGAACGCTAAACCGTTGAGTAATCAGTTAATCCGAATAGTGGATGGAATGAGAGTATTGTCAATTAAAAATTAGGATATCTCCGGATCCTAAGAGATTTCGAGTTCACATTTAATTTTCAACTATTCTCCGCCAAATAAATATCTTAAACATGTCTATAAAATAAAACTCAAATTGTAAAGTATAATATATTAGCGCATGTGTAGATCAATTAAGATCGTACAGCTCTATATAACATTTCATATTATTATTATATTCTCAGATTAGTTTTTATAGCTTCCAAGATCTATCTAAAGCAGTAAGCCATGCCTGCGAACAAAGTTATTAGTGTCTGTATTTCGAAATACATGTGTACGTTCCGCGTACTATTTTTATGTGTAATATTACATAGCTCGAGTATGATCGAAACGAAAATTATTTATAAACTTGTAATAGTGCGTAAAAAAATATGTTTTCGAAGTTTCTTTAGACGACGTGTCTCAATGAATAGAAAAATGATAACTAGTTAAGGTCCAATATATATTTTCATTTGTTATAAAGGCCACTGAAAGAAGGGATCTTGTTTCATTTAACGTTGTTAAATTAAAAATTCTATCGCCAATTAGAAGGAGGAAAAATTGGATGTCAATATCATTTTATTAATTCTACTTTTTTGTGCGTAATGTAAATTCTTATAAATACATAAAACGAAAAAAGATTATAATTAAGACCCGAAATATTGTTCACAGATAGAAGAAACACGTACGATATAATTTCATATTATTTTCATATATTTTTTTTAGTCCTTTCATCCGCCTTAGCTTAGATCATGCAAAATTAATTGTATTCATTAATCGTTCTAAGTTAATTTACTATCATTATGAAAGTATAACAAAATTGAATCTCATATTTCACGTATGATGGACACTTATATTGAATATCGTTAAAGCTTAGAAAATGTCTTCGTAGAATTACATTATTACATATTCAGTTATGTAGCTTAATTATTTATTTATTTCTCAATAGCTATATTTGCACCAGTCAGCTTTCAAATGAAAGAGTTATCGAAATTTACTATAATTTGATCGAGATACGTATATAATAATGTGGCACATAATTTTATTATTCGTATAATAGGTATCGAAGCGTTTTGAAACAGTAGTCTGTTCATTTATAATTTGTAAATATGAAAGAATTTTCCTTGCCGTAAGTTTGCCTCGTTATGGAAGACTCAAAAGGCAACGGCAACGAGAGAATATGACAATGTTTGAAAACAATTATCGTAATACTCAAAACAGAAATTTTCCTTTGCGTTAAATATCTTTTATAGTGTAACTTTTTGCCAGAAGATGATTATATTTATGTATCTAAGCAGAGTATTTTATATGGTATACATTTCAGCGAAGATTCAGCAGAGAGACATATATGAGAGGTATTTCAAAGTATGTGTATTAAAGCTAGAGTGCAATTATGTATATCGTAGGGCATTTATCATTGTACATGTATCACTATTTGTAGATGTGCAATATTGAAATTGTCAAAATGATCTCCAAATATCGTGATAGAAACGAAAATGAGAAATACGTCATATAATAGAGCAAGACTTTCGCGACGTTAGAGATGAAGTGAAATTCAGTAGAACGTGTACAAAAAGCTCGTTATACGTTGTTAATTAATTTATATAGTGCTTATCAAATTTTATATTCGAATATTCCGTTTTCCTTTTTTTCTTCTCAAGAGCAGAATATCTTTGCGTGGTCTATTTATCAAGCAATAATATATGAACGTATGTTTGTAATTTTATGAAAAGCTCTTGCATTATGTATATTTTAAATATATGAATTGGTACATCAGCATTGCGATCCCATACAGTGGAGTTTAATGTAACATCATTTTCTCTGTACACTAATCAAACAATTAAATCTCACAATGATACACTGATTCTAAATAAATATTTCTCACGAGACTTTCGATATTAATTTCGAGAAACACATCGAATTATGCTCTAAAATTATATAAAATTTATGCATAATTTCACATATGTTCTTTAAAATGTATATAAATTATATTCGAATTTTCAGCATAGAAAATATCTTCCATTGATCACAATAACAAAAATAGCATTTGAGATTCCTTTTGTTTTTTTCTAGATTCCTCGTCACAATTTACAAAATTATGACGAAGAAAATTGGACTAACATTTGTTGGAACGTCGTTGTTCCAACAGTAGTAGACATTTGACTAATACTGTTGAATAAAGCTTCTGCCTGCAAATTCTCTGGGAGCCTAGTGAGAAACTGTGCCCCGTGTACAAAGTCCATTTTAAGTAATTCTTCTTGGTACAGGTGTAGTACACCAAGTGCTGTTCTGAACAGGAACTCATCCCCATCTCTAAGAAAAACATCCCAAATCCTACATGCAACATCCAGAGGCATTGCTTTAGCATATATTGTATACAACCAATCTAACAAGTATAAATCTGGGCTAAGACCAGCCACTGTAAAATGGGAAAAAATTTTTGGTAGCTTATGCGCAAGTGCACTAGAATATACTTTATAATAAATATCCATCTGCTTCTGATTCAATGTAAAAGCGGCTCTGTGACAAGGATGATTTAATAAATTAGCGAAGCAGGTGAAGGCATCTGGAGGTTCCATGTTCAGAGATAACACAGCACCAATAAAACTCATACCTTGTACGTAACCTACATCAGGTCTATAAATTGCATAGGCTGCTAAAATACCTTGAAGACTATTAGATAGTGGTCCACCTTCTTGAAAGACACATAAATTTGGAAAAGTGCGATATACATCTAATCTGATTGCAGACAATGTTTCACTTATAGGACTCGACATCGCTCTGTCCAAGCAGATATTATAAAGATTCGCCGTTACGTTTAAATTATTTGGAATAGCTAGTTTCCACACTTTACCACGAACACTTGGCGGAAGACCACGCCACCACAGTTCACGTACTTTCTTTGCATTTCGAACACTTTCAAATTTTGGAAGTACATGCACGTTCCACGTATGAGAATCTTCTGCCAATCTTTCCTCCTCTTTAAGTTGCAATTCTCTCTGTTGTTTACGTTCCTTTTCTTCTTTCAATTCCCGTTTCCTTGCTGCTTCCAAAATGGCATTGTATTGCTTACGATGACGTTCCTCTTCGAGTGCATTTTTAGCTGGTAGGTTCGCTGGTCTCGGTTGTTGAATCAGAGCTAAACTTCCTCCTACTTTGTCTATATTCCTCGATGGACTACTTGTAGGTGTAGATTGCTGAGAATCTTTGTTTTTCCATGAAAATACGTTTTTTGGAAAAAGTGTATTTAATCCCCAACGTTTGGACTTCTCTGCCTTTTCTCCCACTTGGTCGTCAGTGCCCAGGAAACTTCCGGAAGGAGACACCTCGCTAAGGGAAGACACCGTGCTACTGCAGCTGCGTGGCAAACTGTTTCTAGGGCTACTGTTTGTACTACCACTTTCGAGTCTTGTGTATTTATCTTCATCAACCTTAAAATTATCATTCAAGGATTCTTCCTTATAATCACATGAAGTATCTAAATATTGAGATTTGCAGTCCAACTGCTCTTCATTAGATTCCTCCAAAGAATATATTTGCTTTGTAGCAGGATTATAAGCTAAGGACATACTTTCCAATGCATGGTTTAAACTAGTTCCAGCCACTCCTACAGAAACCACATTACCAGCATCGTACCACTTATTCTCTCGAATGTGCACACATAATGCTTTGGTTTTTACAGCTGGTACAGAAGCGACGTCACACGCCAAGGCTTCATTAATATTCACACTATTGCAGGATATGGAACCTCCATTCAATGACACCAGCTGCTGTTTACCAATTTTTGGTACAATATTGTTGGCAATATAACAATTCGAATCTTTTCCAGCGACTTTTAGTACCTGGTAATTGTTCGATATATTTCCATAACGAGACACAATGCATGGCGATGCATTTTGTGATGAAACTGGATGTGGATGACTGTTTCCATTTAAATGATTAGATGCTGGATTCTTCATGATTAGCACCCGTTCCCTAACCTTAGCAGTATCCTAAATGTATTTCCAGTAGCGGCAAACCAATAAGGAATCAAGTTTTCGTGTGTAATATTTGTTGATTTGCATTTATGCATATTTTCCTGTTACTTTCTCATAGTGTTATACACAAACATCATCGATGTTCGAAAGTGTATCGATGTTTCGATGAAACAACACCCACATATGAAGTGTCAATTCTGACATGGTGTCTGCATTATAACAAATTTTTATTGATAGATGCGTCATATACATACAATAGATAGATCAACTCTAATCTGCCATAAATAAAAATTCCACACTTGTGTATCTGAAGCAGATCGGTTATTCAGATAAAATAATTTCAATCTTCCTCTGTGCGTATGATTTCGGGTTTGACGGAGCAGAGAAGATTAGAAAAAACAGATTGAATCTTGTGTGTAAAGTCATTCAGTCCCACTGTTAATTATTCGATGCAATGATACTGCCTGATGCTGTGCATACGACAAACTTGACACTGATAATCGAAATTGGCGAATATCCTACACATTTGATGCGTACACAGTACAAAATTTTTATATCTCTCTCTCACATACCAGATACGTGAAAATAAATAACAAACCAAGTTCATCGCCCAATTAAACACAAATTATTCTAAGTTTTAATAATGAGCTCTAAACTGCGAAGATAACTTTTCCCGATGTAGTCACTGATCTTCACCACTATGCGACAGAACACAATCACGTGATTACAGTATCATAAGCTGTTATAAACTTTTAAAATGCGGAATATAAAATGAATATGTGATGAAAATGATATTTGCAAAACATTTTTGGTGTTATTGTTGAATAGGATAAAAATTTCATTCCATTCCGCATGGAATCGTTCACGGTTTATGCCTGATTCATACTAATTATATACAGGATGTCCTCGGATTAAGCGATCAAACTTCACCAGCATTCACCAGTATATGTTGAGTAAAAATAAGAAAAAAAATGTTACATACACGTAGGTCTGCAAACGCTTTATTACATTGAAAAGAAATGTATAATCTATAAAATATTTTCTTATTTTTACTCATAGAACATACGGGCGCACACATCCTATATATATGTATACTCAGCAGATATTTTGGGGACATTACGGACATTACAATGTCGAATAAAAATAGAACAGCAAAAGTCCCTAGAACGGCTGTTAGAACAGCTGATTGCACAAATTGATAGAAACGAAAATTCGCATTAATTGAAAAGCTGTTGGAAAATAGGTTAAAGAGGGTCAAATATCATACGCAACATTATCGAGTCTCAGTGAACGACTGTAATTATTTCAGTGAAATACAATCGTAAAGTGTGAATTTTTCAACATAACAGATGTGTATTGTAAGAAATGTCACAAATTGATATCCAGGATTTATTTGACAAAAGCAGGTAAAAGGATCAACTGTAAACAAAAGAATTTTAATGGAACTTAAAATGTACTTATTTTTTCATTATTTCTCCCACTGAGAATCTTTGTTACACACGTGTTTATTTGCTTCATAATAGAATAGAAAACGTTTAAGTTTACCCAGAATAATTCCAACATTAATATTGAAATGAAATATACCATTTAGGTTTCCCAGTGGCTGGCGTCTTGCATCTATATTTTTATATACTCCAGTGGGTCTTGTACTTGTACTGCTGAGATTACTAGTTGCTTTGCAACTTTGGCTTATTGCAGTATTATTACCTGATTGCAATATACTTAGAACATTGTTAAGCCATGGATTTAGTTTTGCTTTTGGTATCATGGTAAAGGTACCAGAAGGTGGAATCAAGGAGAACCAATTAAGGATTCTAATTGCCAACAATATTTCTGTACTGGATCATTTTGCTCTTTACAAAGCTACGCAAGCATTAACTCCTTCGTTATGGGAAGAAATACCCACTGCCATGGCCAATGCCTTGGGTTTACAAGTAATGGACATGGCAAGCAAGGACATTTTAATCGCCAACATAAAGCACTTTTTGTCAACGTCAAATTATAAGATTGTGATACAACCTGAATTTGGCACAACAAACAGTCGCGTTGCCTTGTTGAAGTTCAATTCTTGGCCATTTACTGTCGAAGCATCTGTTCAACCAATTGCGATTAAAGCGTGGAGGCCAGACTTTGTACCCATTGGTCTTAGTTCATTAGCATCTAGATGGTGGACAGATGTGTTTTGGTTCATGTTTGTACCTTACACAGTCTTCACTATTAAGTACCTGAGAACAAAACAAAATCCGGATTGTGAAGCATTGGTAAGGGATGTAGAAAAAGACATAGCAACCAGCCTTGGACTGCAAACAACTTCTTACACTGTATCAGACAAAGTTGATTTTGAAAAACGTTATATTATGGAAAAAGCACAGAGTAGGAGATTTGATAGAAATTCGTCAAGTTCACAAGCCGTACATAGCGTCGAAGTTCAGAGAATGGTCCGACAAGTCAGTGAAGTGCTTCCATTAGTACCCCATAATGTGATTCTCAGAGATCTATGTACGTAAATAAATATTTATTCTGATTAATGTCCACCGTTGTAACGCAGTCAGGATTAATATTCTTCGACAATTATTTCAGTGAAAACACGCAATGTTGACATTACAATTGCCAATATATTGGACGGCATCGTTACTTATACACCAGATTCGTCTCAAACCGTTACAGCAACAGCATCGTTAAACCAAGTGCAAAAAAATACAGTTAAGGACAATAGTAACCTGGGATCGTCTTCATTCCAGGAAAGAAAAGCTAAAATGATAAGGGAAGCTAGGGAAAGGTATATTCAAAAACATGGTCTTAAAAATTGCTGACATTCTCATTACAGTTCTATTCTGGTTATTGTATCTTCATTGATTATAAATATGTAATGTTTTGTCGTATGTGTATTTACTATTAC